AGCGTTCCATCCGCTTCCTGCTGCGATGGTCCGAAACTCGATGGCGAAATCTGCAGTGCTGCGAGAGCCTTGATTTAGAGCAAGCAGGTGCTTGGAAGCCTCCCGACCACTGACTGGATGATTTGGGTGAGGAATCATCACCCCAGCAAAGGGCTTGGGAGGTGGTAATCGAGGCTCTGCCACTAAAGTAGGCCTGTTGCCACTTGGGGGTGAAGCAGTGGGAGGTGAAGCGCCCGGGAGCCGTTCAAAGAGCTGGTGGATGGAACCCATCACATCAGCCAGGAGTTGAGAGTGTTTGGTTATTAGCTCCTCCTGATGGCTGAGAACAGCTTCATGGCGCTGGAAAGATGACTCGTGCTGGGCAATAACTGCCATCAGGTCCTTTGAGGTGAGTGTTTCTGGGTCCATAGATGACTCGGTTTTTCTGTCACAATATATAATAATATAATATATACATACACTTAGAATTGCAGAAAGGCATTCTACTATTATTATTATTGCTGATGTATATAATATGCATGTGATTTGTGCATTAACACATTTCAAAATGCATGAATTCAAGAATGCAAAATTAGGAGCATTTCCATTCATGTACAGAACTTGCATAGAGATGTGTAGAGCGTAAACCAAAAATTAAATCAGAAAATACTTCCATCAAAGTCTTGGGGCTAAAAACAAAGCAACGCCAACTTTAACGTTAGTTAGAAACCACATGGGTCTTCTACATGTTTGCATGTAGAATGCTACATGAAACATGTTTAAAGTGCCAATGATAATTTTGCTGACTGTCTTTGTCTCCCGACTTGAGCAAAAGGGGTTTGATATCTGTTTTTGATATCTTTCAGCTCAACTCAAATAAAGAAATCTCTTGAGCCGCTCTCGCCTGTACTCAAACACAATTATGCCAACTTGCATTTTCTCCAGCATGCACAGACACTACATCTGGGCCGGTTCTGCTTTGCTGTCCCAGTTCTTCACATCAAAAGGAAAATACCCAGTCCAAACACTCAGCGGGATCGGCCTCTTTACCCTTACATTTTCAGTGCTTGTGAGAAAGTTTTATCAAGAGAAAGCTCTATAGCTTGTCTGCGGCGCTCTCGAGTGATTTGCTAAGTACCTCTGTAAAGAAGTCTTCTCCAAAGCTTCTGCGTTTGGTCGGATTCTTTATCAGGCCTGAATCCGCTCTAGTGGATCTGGTAGGTGTCACATCTAACGACTTCTTTCTTGGCATCTTCTTGCAAATGCATGGCTGAAAAAAAAGACACTTTTGATTAATCAAAGAGAAATTCTGAAACAAAGTCAAATAAGATACACAAAAGCCTATACAGACATTTGAGTTTATCTGAGTGTTTCTCAAAAAAAATATGCAAACAGATGCAGATACACTACAGAGCAAAAGTTTGGGATCGGTATGATTTCATAACGTTTTTGAAAGTAGTCTGTGCTCAGCAAGGCTCCATTTATTTGATCAAAATTACTGTAAAAACAGTAAATATTGTGAATTATTATTGAGTCAAAATCTGTTATAATAAAAAATGGAATAATGGGTAATAATGGAACAACAGTTTTAAAAAGATTTTTCACTGTTATTTACAACAGGATCTGCATTTTCATGGGTTTACATAAAATATGTTTGTTATAAGACAGAATAAGAACAGATTTGTGTATCAAAAACACCAATTTCCTGCTAAATCGTCTTGCTTTAAAGGCAATTATCAGTTATTTAATTTTCCAATAAAAGATTATATATTTTTACATTATTAGTTACATTTAATTACCCCTTAGCAGATTTTGACTCTATTACAATGTAAAATAACTGTTTTCTATTTGAATATATTTTAAAGTATAATTAAAAAACAAAAAAATCCAGCTAGTTTTGTTATTTTAATCTAGTTTAACTTGATTTACTCAAATAACTAAAGCTGAAGTAAAAATCATCAAAACTATATAGATAAACTTTAAAAAAACTAAAACTAAAAATGACATAAAAAAATTACTAAACCATTAACTAAAATTAAAATGAAGAAAATCTAAAAATAAAAACTAATAAAAAAAAAGAAAAGAAAATTATAATAGTATCTCGACAGTAAAATTACACTGTTTTAAACAGCCATTACTTCAGTGTTCAGTGTCACATGATCCTTCAGAAATCATTCTTATTATTATCAATGTTGAAAACAGTTGTGCTTCTTAATATAGTTGAAACTGAGATACATTTGTTAAGGATTCTTTGATAAATAAAAAAGTTCAAAAGAACAGCATTTATTTGAAAAAATAAATCTTTTGTAACAATATAAATGGCTTTAACTTCTGATCAATTTATTTATTCCTTGCTGAATAACAGCACTAATTTATTTTATAAAAAAAAAATAAAAAATCTTACGGACCTCAAACTTTTTAACAAAAGTGTACAGTAAAAATGTTAGGGTGTTCATGTCTGTAAACACAATGCGGTACGAGTTACACAAACAATAGTAACAGTGATGCTTGACTTACTGTAGCAAGCACCACTAACAGACGTGATAATTACTGAACATATACAGCATGTAAATGAATTTAATTTCACAAACAGTTTCATATTTCAACCCCAAGAGCCCTGTATTCTGAACCACCTGTTCTGCTGCTCTGCACAAGTGGATGTAATTGCTTTTTGGATGAAGTAGCCGACGTGCCGTATTGTCTCCAACTATTTGCACTTTTATCCCGTCTATGTTATCGCTGCTATCTGTAATACGGATGCCAGGTCGGTCGCCGGTTTTGGAGTCGGCGATGATCAGAGGCAACACAAATAATCAGCCCCCCCTTTTGCTGTATTATGGAGATTGAATCTGAGGGAGTGACTGATTGTCCCCAGTTTATCTGATATTAGGGGAAATGGATTATTCAGACGCTTCAACAATTGTCTGTGGAAGCCCGTGGCGAGAAAACTCATTCGCCTGATCCTGAAAGATACAGGCCCAATGCGGTGGGACGGCTTTCATTATACCAGATGGGAATTTAGAGAGAGGAAATTTCCTGCCTCTGAGGATGAAATAAATGTACGACAGATAGATTTTTTCATTTTTTTTGCCATACATCCAGTTGTTTGTCATAGAGACAGGGGAGACCACTGTATGTTTGTAGTGTACACTAAAAAAATTTGGTAAAATTTACAGTAAAAAAACCGGCAGCTGTGGTTGCCAGAATTTTACCGTAAAAACGGTCTTTTTCACTTCCAAAAATGGTATACTACCATAAAATGACAAGCAATGTTCAATAAAGTTTTTCACCGTATATAGTAGGGGAATTTACCGTTAACCATTTAACAGGTTTTTACTGTAGCATTTACATTTTACAGTTTTTTACAGTTAAATTCACGGTCATTTTTTACAGTGTATTTTTCTTTAGCTATTAGAATCTGACTTCTGTTTTGATGCACTTGCAACCAGTCTGAGTCACACGGATGTCATTCAGCATCTTCTGAACATGAGCATGTTGACATTGAACAGTGTAGAGAAAATGCCATAATGGAGAATAAATATAAAAAGTGCTGCAGTTGCACACATACAGTAAGGTCACCAAATCCGGTAACCTGTTATGATTCCTTGTCAGCTTTGGTGACTCTACTGTATATCTCCAGCTTTTTTTTTTTTTTTTTTTTTTACATCAGAGCTATATGCTTTCTAAAATACAGAATGAAGATGTTTAGACATCACCAGCTGTATGTCTGCAACTGTTCACATCACAGCAAAACGTCGCCAGACTGGTAACATTAAAGCCTGTAATTGGTAACAGGCCACTTTACGTGAAATAGAAGAGGGTAACAGATTTCGGTAACCTCTAATGCTGTCTTGTCAGATTTGGTCACCCTTCTGCATCTCTGTAGTTGTTCCTATCAGACCAAAATGCTTTCTAAAATACAGAAAAGAGCACTTTAGACATCAGCTGAGAGAAATTGGGTAAAAATGAAGTCATTGTGTGTGAAATAGAGAGGGGTAACAGATTTTGGTAACGTTTAATGCTCTATTGTCGGATTTGGTGACCCTGCTGTATATCTGCAGCTGCTCACATCAGACCAAAATGCTTTCTAAAATACAGTAGAGAGAAGTTTAGACATCAGCGGAGAAAATTTGAGGAGCATTAAAGCCACTGTTTGAGAAATAGTGAAGGGTAATGGGTTTCGGTAAGCAGTTATTCTGTCTTGTCGGATTTGGTGAAATTTCTGTACATCTGCAGCTGTTCATATCAGAGCAAAATGCTTTCTAGGGTATAAAATAAAGGTGTTTAGACATAACCAGAGTGAATCTGGAGATCTTTTTAGCCATTCTGTTTGAAATAGAGGGGGTACCAGATTTTGGTAACCTCTAATGCTGCCTTGTCTGATTTGGTGACCCTGCTGTATATCTTCAGCTGTTCACATGATATATAAAATAAAGAAGTTTAGACATAATCAGACTAAATTGTAAATGGAACGAAATTCGGAAGCAGAATTGTTAAATCCCTTCCCTTAAATTCCCGTCCATACCTTCCTCTCTGAATGTCCTTCTGAAAGAATCACAAATTTTAAAACAAAAGGTCCACGATTACGTTTCTCCGGCCCGACCTGTATCCCTTACAAAATATAAGCGGCAGAGAAAGTTAAAAATTATCAAACTAAACTATGACATCAGGATAATAATGCCAAAATGTATGATAGCGCCCTTTTAAGTATAGAACACTGCATTATTCTAGACCCATAAATCATATAGAGCTCATTCAGCAAGCAATTTCATCAAATTAGACTCAACTTCTGAGATGTCCTGTTTCAGATTTACATCCCGTGTGACGTCCATCCTTACAGCAGTGATGTGCAAATGACAGAATTTACTGCTGCATATAAAAAACAACCCCTCGTGACCCCATTTAGGTCAGTGTCCTGTAGCCTGTGAGAACAGCGGTGTACAGTTATTCACACAGGGTGGAAGGTGTGTGTGTGTTGGGGTGACAGCAGGGCCATCAGCCACTTTAATTAATAAGAGAATACCTCTGGACAACAGCCCAGAGCCCAGCTGTCATACAGCCGTTCTGTCAACACGCACTGCCAAAACTCTGGGGTCAGTTCATGTGAGGTGAAATGCGGAAGGACATGATGACTAGTTACAAAGGAAGATGTCGGAAGAAATGTGAAAGCATTTGCATGTGTTTAAAATTAGATTCCCCACCAACTGCGTAGCTTAAACTTGGCTAAAAATGCCAACACCTCATTTCCCCTTTTTCCTCAATTTTCTGCTTTTTAAGGCATATTCTGCAATGATTTTGAGGGGGAAATCCGCATTAACAGCATAACTGATTTAAACATGGTTAATAAGAGTACTGCTCTCTTATTGGTAGCTGATAACGCTATAATCACATTAGCCAAAATGTTAATAAATAAGCACATTAGGGATGGG